AGGAGGAAGAATTAACTTTGTGGAGTGAGTATATGTGTGTGTGTGTGTGTGTGTGTGTGTGTGTGTGTGTGTGTGTGTATACACACTGTGTGTGTGTGTGTGTGTGTGTGTGTGTGTGTGTGTGTGTGTGTGTGTGTGTATTAAGAAATCATCCTTTCATTGTGTAATCCCAGCTTTGACATAAACCCTCTGAGAAGACACACTTTTTGGACACTAGTCATCGGAGGGACATTTGGTTGGAGTGCAGTTTATGGGACCTACCAACCTCAAGTTCAGAGATACAACTCCTGCAAGAGCATTAAACATGCCAGATTGTGAGTGATTCAAAGGAATGTATTCCTTCCTTCCTGTTTAGCTTGCAAAACACACACTAATCAGGCAGGGCACAGATGACCAGCAAGCTAAAACCAAGACTCTTGTTGCGGTGAGGCCACAGTACTAACCATTAAACCGTAAATAGAGAATTAATGCAAAAACATTGTACAAGGTTCCTCATAGTAATAAATTAAGAAAACAACAATATATGACACATCTATTTCCACATCTATGTAAATTCTGATTCAGCCAAAGACACTACATTGGTGGGGTTTGCTGGCAAATGACACGTTGTTATCATAAACTCGGAAAAGATAGCTATGAAGCTATGATAAATGATGACATCATCAGCATACAGTGATAAGACATGGTTCATTTCTTCATGTTCAGCACAGTTTCTACTTCAATCAACGCAATGGCTGCAGTGACCACGGAGGACCTGATCAAACCACGCATTAAACTATCTGAGAAAAAGCTTCTCTTGATCTCCAAAGGGCTGAGTACATAACGGGTTTCCTGTTGTTTGTTTATGATATACGGTGGGGCAAAAGAGTATTTGGTCAGCCACCAATTGTGCAAGAGAGGCCTGTAATTTTCATCATAGGTATATCTCAACTATGAGAGACAAAATGAGAAAACCTTGTGAAGATTCACAGAAAACGTTTGACCCCTGTCATTGCCAACAAATGGTATATAACAAAGTATTGAGATGAACTTTTGTTGTTGACCAAATACTTATTTTCCACCATAATTTGCAATTAAATTCTTTAAAAATCTATGATGAAAATTACAGTCCTCTCATGTTTTTAAGTGGGAGAACTTGTAAAATTGGTGGCTGACTAAATGCTTTTTTTTGCCCCAGTGTAAGCTGCATGTTATGTTAGATTAAACTAATCTCTGTTTTGTGGATGTGGCTGGTAGTCGATAAAAATGTCATTTTGTGATGTGATGTTTTTGCAGGTGTGTTTTTTGGAATTGTATGCGTTGCTATGGCTGGACTGGCATCACTCATGGGACATATGATGCAGGTAGAGGGATCTGTTAATGCAGAGCTGTCAGTGTTTTCAGGCAAACACATCCAGGGACGTTGTTGTTGTTTATTAGAAAGCATGTTAGTTACGTAAATAAGTACATTTTTCACCTCAGTAAATACGACCATTTTTAAAGTGTTTTTTGAGCTGCAGGTCTCTTCAAACAGGCAGTGTCCATCATTGGTGGGGTCACTGGGGGTCCTTTACTCGGTCTGTTCAGTTTGGGTGTCCTCTGTCCATTTGTCAACTCCAAAGTAAGTCCATTCTCATTTTGGGATTTTCATTTGAAAATTTCTACCTCCAGGGATCTCAAAATCTGGCCAAAATCAGCCCTTGGTAGCATGAAAGAATCGACATTTGTATCATTGTTTCAACTGTATTGCATCAACCTGTCATCGTATAACATAGTGCAGAGAACATTTTTTCTTATACGGTATTTACAGTATAAAAAGCCACCCTTATTAATGTTCAATGTTTAAAAAATGTTAACGGCATGAAAGAAAAACCAATTACCAAATAACTTTAAAAACCAACTATAATCTTTATATTTTTTTATTTTTTTATTTTTGTTTGTTTGTTTTTACTGCATAGCTGTAAAACCCCATCAATTGACCCTGTTCAGTGGAACCAACTTGCAGGATTTTATAATTTGTTGAGATTGAGCTTTTTGAGCTTATTGTTAAGATTGGATCAGGTGCTGAGCCGTCTCTTGGTTGCGCAGCGTTGATGGGGGCTTGCTGGTTGAGCATTTCCACTTCCACTCTCTGTGGTTACACACCACCACTCTGTAACAAATCATTAGTTATTATTCATCATCTAGTTATAATCCATCTCTCTGGATTGTAGGGCCTTTACCTTACAATATAAAGTGCCTCCAACCAAGTTTTGTTGTGATTTGGAACTGTGTAAATGAATTCAGAAATCATCCGTTTTCGCTTACATAGTTCTGCTGTCAAACTGAAAATAATATTGAAAAATGAGCCTGAGCGTTGAGTGACACTCGACTCTGACAAACATTTTTGACTGTTGGTCTATGTAATATATATTTCATGAAGCTCCTTATATTTGTCCACAGGGAGGCCTATGGGGCCTCGTGGCAGGTTTGGCTGCAGCTGTGTCTGTGACCATTGGAGAATTGATATCCCCTTCTCCTCCTGAGATGACCCGACCTCTCTCGCTGAGCACTGAGGGTTGTAACTTTACTTCTGGTGGCAGTCTCAACTGGATTACCCCACTGCCAACAGAACCAAGTCTTTTTACCACAACCCCAGGACAGAATACTGATGACATGTAAGTGTGGTTCAGTCTGTGTTAGATCAATTAATATAATGTTGCCTGGTGAGATGGGATGACCGAGCTTTCCTATAATATAAATAAAGGGCATATGAGAAAAAACTAATTTCTCTCACCACCAGACATGCAGTTCAGTGGCACTCTCCATCCTACCTTTATTTCATTGTCATTGGAGGTTTAACAGCTATTATTGTTGGAATAATCATCAGTCTCTTGACAGGTAAGAAAAAAAGAAAAGATTTTGCCATTGGATCTGTGATCTCATTTTCTTATTGTTTCATAAGGACTTTTTGTATTTGTTCTTCCACTTATCATTTCAGGGGGATTGAGGGAGACGGTGGACCCGAGACTTATGCTAATGAAAGAAGACACTCTTTCTTATCACCTGTTCAAATGTGTCAAAGATGGGGTACGTGCTGAAGAGCAAAGGTATCAAAAGCAACAGACTGAAGACAGGCGCTCAATTCTGCCTTTTACTTTTCCTTCCTTAGGTCATGGGAGGAACAGACAATGTTGGTCTCCCAAACAAGGAGGATGGAATCAAGAAACCTGCACATGGGAAAATTGACAACGACATCCGTGTCTCATCTTTTTAACGACCGATACAGCTGAAGACAGAGCTGCTGCAATGCTCAAATCCAGGATTGTAATCACCTTACTTCATAAGAAATTAGACCAAAGGAACTGAGTTGTCAGCGAGAAAATAATGTTTTTATTTTTCCAGTGATTCAGCAAAAAGTAGAAAGCACTTCTCTCAAATATCTACTTGTGTACAATGATGATTTCTGTTTGTATTGTTTAGATTAACACGTTATTAATAAAAAGCCACATGATAAACATTTCAATTCAATTCAATTTTATTTATATAGCGCCAAATCACAGCAACAGTCACCTCAAGGCGCTTTATATTGTAAGGTAGATCCTACAATAATACATACAGAGAAAAACCCAACAGTCATATGACCCCCTATGAGCAAGCACTTTGGCAACAGAGGGAAGGAAAAACTCCCTTTTAACAGGAAGAAACCTCCAGCAGAACCAGGCTCAGGGAGGGGCGGGGCCATCTGCTGTGACCGGTTGGGGTGAGAGAAGGAAGACAGGATGAAAGACATGCTGTGGAAGGAATAGTCTGAATAGTTCAAACATAAGTGTTCCTCTCTTTCTGGAATGTTTGAATTTCTCTGACCAGGAGGGCAACGCAGACTTTGCTGAAACATCCACAGGATACAATCCACACAAACAGGCAATGAATACATTCTAGGTAGTTTTGATGCTATTTAATATGAGTCATAAAGTTTTTTTAGCTTCGGTTTATTAACTCAAATGTCACAAGACGACGTGACCATTGTCCTTCAGAAACACAGCAGCTCCGCATTTTGCAAAAAGTAAAACATAGCACTTCAACACAACCACCTCATGACAATTGTCAAGCCAGTGGTCATGATTTGGGCTCGTTTTCCAGCTACAGGACCCGGGCACCTTGCATTCAGAGTCACAATGAACTCCTCTGTACACCAAAGCATTTTAGAGTAAGATATGAAACCTTCTGTGTGCCCGGCAGTTAAAGTTTGGACCAAATTGGGTCATGAAATAACACCAGCGAATCTATAACAGAATGGCCTAAAAAGAAGAGACAGGTGTTGCAATGGTCCAGTCAAGGTCTAGACATCAGCTCAATTAAAACACTGCAGCAGGATCTTAGCAGAGCTCTGCATGAACAAATAACTGCAAACCTCAATAAACCGAAGCAACACTGAAAAGAGAAAGAGCCAAGATTCCTCCACAGGAATGTGAGAGACTGAATAAGTCCTCAAGAAAACATTATTTCAAGTTATTGCTGCTAAAGGTGGGTCTACAACCTATTGAATCATGCCAAGTACTGCGTCATAGGATTTCATAGTTTCATGAAAACTTCCTTCTTCAGAATCCATGCAGACTGACACTAGATCTGCAGGGTTTAGGTTGATTGTAATAGCAGGGATAAGTAACACTAAGCTGTGTTTGTGGTTTATTATGACACGAGACACCACTCTAAGAAATCTGTAACATTTATGTTTGCCTTTTGTGTAACAGCACATGAATCCATTCCCATGTACACTTATTTCTCAAAAAACGTGAGCATGTATTTACAAATATATACACTGAAATACATTCTAAAACTCACATATTACATTAAAGAAGCTTCAGTCGGTAGACAGAAAGACAGCTGCTTTAAAAAAAGAAAAGAAAAAGTACACAACCTCTTGTACAAATGATCAATGTTACAATTTGGACACCTTGGTGTAAACACTGGGTAACTCATCTGGTGCAGCATTTGTTTTAAATACACTAAAATGTGACAATGGGACAAAGAATGCATAAAACATATTCTGGGCTTACATACAGTATATGAAATTGAAAGAGTGGCCTTAGGTACAAAATATCAATGACAGTGATGATCGCTTTGCAACACCCAGAGATGAGGATTTTATTTCCCTTTCAGAGGCAACCTTAGTTGAGTTTAATAAAGGAGCTGTTGTAAATTCTGTTCTTCGTTTTGGACCCGGTAGGTGTTAAAAGGTGTTTGTGAATCCGAAATAACCGATTACCACACTATAATCCAGGAAAACCACTTGGCGCTATCAGCGTGTGCCATTATTTTTCGGGTTCATAGTATCTTTTTTTCATGGCCCGATATTTTCGGAGGAAATACAGAGCTTCTAGCTCCTTAATGACATGATCCCCCCGGGCCACCAGCTGTTTGATCTTCTCCGGGTCGGTCACGTCTTTATGCTTCATGAATGCTGACTTCAGGCGCTGTTTGAAGTACGCTGCTCCCTGAGGGTATTCACGGCCGAGATACAGGAGCTTGTTTGGAGAGGAGAGACACATTTTTAAAGCTCTGCAGCATTGCACACCACCCAGCGTTGTTTCTCTTAACACCAGTTTACTTACATTTTTGTACAGCCTGATAACTTCAGTTTTTAAAGGGTTGGCCATGGCCTTTCACACTTTTGAAACGAGAAGAGGAGAAAGGGAAGGTCAGGAGAGAGAGCACACAGAAACCATTACACAAAATTAAGTTTAGCTTAGCAGCTAGCTTACGAATTACCATGTAGAGCACTGCATTTATGCCAAGCGCAACAAATCGACATTTACACGTGTTATATTATGTACGCCAATGAAGAGAAAAATGTCTTTTCCTTGCGTCCTTACCTATAAATGTAAGGGACAACTCCGTAGTGCACGTTGTCGCACGTCGTTTCGTTCTGTCGCAAATAAAAACAGCAAGTACGCATGCGTGTAGGTTGCCACGGTTACCCAGACGCGCGGACGAACATGGTGAGGGTTTTTCCCCTCTATTATTTCCTTATAATAGACCAGCTTAAATATTATTTTTAAAGGTCTATGTGATTACAGGCTATCAGTTAGCGCAATTACGTAGTATCCTATTAGTTTACTGTACGAAATACAGTTTCGTAGTTCTTAACTTCGACACTTTCTCTCTCTCTCTCTCTCTTTATATACAGAGGTGGCAAAAGTACAGACTTTCTTTACTTAAGTAGAACAACTAAGTAGTAAAGATACCTGGGTTAAAAAAATGCTCCACCAATAGTTGAAGCACTGAAGAAACTGTTTTACTCAAAAGAGGAAAAGTACAGGCTCTGAAATGTACTCCAAGAAAGAAAGTAGCTCTTTGTAGGACAATTCTAACAAGGAAACGGAACCTTTTACTATATTAATATAATATCATTATACTATTAGTACATGATAACATAAATACAATAATCTAAATTAATACAATAACATAAATTATAATCCCAGTGAATATGCCCAGTTTGAATGTGTTATATAGGACCCAATGCAGTGGACAGGAATATTTAAAAAAAAAAAGAAGAAGCGGTTTTCTGTTGCCTCCACATTTAAACATTAACTCTTGATTGTTCTCATTTTAAAGTGAGATTCAGCAGGTGGGGGACACTAAGATCTGTGGAGTGGCTCAGCAAAGGGAAAAGAATTACACCTCATAATAATGTCTAATGTGAGATTCAGTAGATTTTATTTGTGTACATGCTGTGATCAGCTGACCTGCTGCTCTTTGTGAATTTACACAACTGAATTTAGCAAGATGTCAGCAGTTTTCGCAAGATGTCCTGGGTGATGTCCATCCTCTACACTGACACAGACACCACTCCTCTACTCATTAGATTGTCTTTACAGTAGACAGTATAAAGTTCAGTGAATTAATCTAAACATCATCAGCTTAAGTGTGAAGTTATTTCACAGTCTTTTCTCTCCCTGTGAAATAAAACCGTAAATAAACAGTCTGTGTTTTAGCTGATAGAAATGTTGAATTTGAAATTACCTGCCACTTAGCGCTAGCTAGATTATGAAGTTCCACTAACACAAAAGGTCACCTGCACTACTTCTGGAAATGTAGGCAGTAAAAGTAAAAGGGTGTCAGAAAAATAAATAATTAAGTAAAGTACCTGGATTTTCTACATAAGTACTGTAACAAAATATTTGTATTTAGTTACTCCCCACCTCTCTATATCTATCTATAGTGTATATAGATATAGATAGATACATAGTTTCTTGAATTTCTGTTTTGAAACATGACATTCTGTAACTTTCTCTCTGTCTTTTTTTCCCTGTGAATGAAAGCTCCCCAAGAAACAACAGGTATGAGCAACAGGCAGTCAGTACATCGTCTGTCTTTGACAATTAGACACAGAACTCAGCTCAAGATACACACAGGAAGCTTCCTTACTCTCTTTCTCGCTGCTTCGTTCTCTTCAGCAATATATCCATTTGCTAGTAGGTACACACTGAACTGTCACTGTTAAACTACACTTGCAATGCTCTGATGCCACAGAAGAAGGCCGGTAAGGTGTCCAAGGCTCAGAGGACAAAGCGGCAGCAAGAGGAGGAGGAGAGGAGACTTCGAGAGGAAGGTGAGCGGTCTCTCTTCATTTAAACCTCCAGTGTAGGTGGCGTTTCTGGCACTGAGACTTTAAAGGGAAATTGACTTTTAAAAAAATGAATCTGTTACACTTTTTGAGCTTCTCTCAAGATTTGTTCATTGTCATTATGTTGCTAGAACGTAACAAAAATTGCAATGGTGCTCTCGGTAATAAAGAAAATGTAGAAAAGATAAATAAGATTTACTTAAAAAAAGATAAATGCAGAAGCCTTTAGCAGTCTTTAGAGTAAAGTGACTGGATGTGAGTGTTCGTGCAGGTGGTCCATGGGGAAGGGCAGGTGGACGGATGGCTTTCAGTGGTGGCTCTTGGAAAAATAGCTGTCCCTCAGCCGGGTGGTAGTGGTCTTTATGTATCTATACCATTTCCTAGATGGCAAAGGTATGAACAGTTTGTGTCCCGGGTGAGTGGGGTCAGCAGCAATATGGCTGGCCTTCCTTTGCAGTCTGCCAGCTTATACTGAATTGAGGTCTGTTAGCTGCTTAATGTGTCTTTGGAGGATCCTCTCAAAGAACTTCATGATGACTGGGGTCAGTGCGACTAGGCAGTAATCATTTAGGCAGGCCACAGCTGATTTTTTTTTTGGCACAGGCACAATGATGGAGGACCTAAGGCAGACAGGGATAGTATAAAGTTGCAGAGACAGATTGAAAATGTCCAAAAAGACCCCAGCCAGCTGGTCAGCACATGTCCTCCCTGACATCTTTTCCGGTTTTGCAGCTTTGTTAGTGTTAGTTCTCTTCAGAGAACAAGTCACTTAGTGGAGCTGCAGGATCAGGGGCTGATGCTGCTCCTCTAGTTGAAGGGGAGCAACGGTTGGACCTCCATTAGTGTTGTCAATCTGGAGAAGAAACTGTTCAGGGTATCAGGAAGTGAGGGATCCCAACTGATCTACTGCTCTATGTAGCTGTTTATGAGTAGGAGAGATAGGCGCTTGTTGGTGGATGTGTTCTCTGTTAGCACTGTATCTGTAACATGTACATTGTAGAGGAAGCCCGGATCAGGGCAGAAAGAGAAGAACAGGAGAGAGTGGAAAGAGAGAGAAAGCAGAAGGAAGTGGAAAGGCTTGAGCTAAAGGTAAGAGCCCAGTTTAATATTAACCCTAAATGAAGCATAAAAGAAGAAATGTACATACACAGAAGAGTACTTGGGAATGCTTTGTGTGCTTGGATGTCTTTCTCTGACAGGACCTAGAGCGCAGAGAGGCCGAGTTGAAGGAACTGCACCATCTACTGGAGGAGAATCATACTGCAGTAACCAAATGGAAAACTGAAGCTGTGGAGACAGCCAAGGTGTGGGTCCACAAGCATTCTGTCCAGTAGATATGGACATTTTCTTTTTCCCTGATGGATTTCTGGCAGTGTATGCTTTGTGTCCAGTGGGAGCGATACATGCGTTGCGACGGTGCACCAGACCCAGCAGTACAGAAAGAGATGAATACATACATGAGTTTATGGAGAGATGACCCTGAGGTCAACATCATGCTTGTGCTCCAGCAGTGTAATCTTGCTCTGCAGGTCTGTATGTGTTTGTTGATCAATGACAGTAAGGTTATTTTATTTCCCTATTATCAGATAATAACCAGCAACAATTTTCTTTATGTTAACTGGCAATAATTAAGTGATAATGATCAGGATGAAAAATTAAGCACAGGACAAAAGTAGCTCTTTGAGCTATTAAAAATAGAGGTAACTAAAGCCTTGTCTTCAAGTGAGTTATCTGCTGTGTGTTCTAACATAACAAATCTGTTCTTACAGCTGGTAGATGAGTTGGAAGATTTCCTCAAAGATGTTACAGATCCCCAGGAGGGCCAGAAGTACCAGAAGGTTCTCATAAATTTGCAGGAGCTAATTCACTCAAAACACCACCTTGCTACTGAAGAGATCCTTAAGGTACAAGATACCTGATTATTCCTATGATAACACATCAGGATGCAGTTTGATTTATAGTAACAATATAGCAATAAGTCCAAAACCCTGCGTGTCCATGGTTTCAGAGTGCCAGTGAAAACGTCAGCACTGAGACAGGCAACATGCAGACTGTGATCAAAGATGACAACATTACACTATGTCTCTGGGCCAACCTCAATAAGATTCCAAGGTTTGTTCATAAAGCTGTCATCTTAGAATTTCATTCTGTTATATATCCACTGTTACAGTGGTGGATGCTCATATTAAAGTTTCACATGGTGAAATCAGTGTATGTGTAAGGAATCTCTGAGTCAACGCTCACACTTCAGACTCTTCAGTTCTAGGAGTGAGCACAGAAGCTCAACCTTCTCTTTAGCAGCCATTCAGAAGAAAGTTGGTTTAAGTGAGCGGGAAGGAAGCCAGACAGTGGTTAGACAGACAGACCAACTGTCCGTCTGTCCACCCATCTTCTGCTGCTTATCTAGGTTTGGGTTGCAGGGGCAGCAGTCTAAACAGAGACAGCCAGACCCTTGCCAACTCCTCCAGTTCATCTGGGGGGACACTGAGGCATTTCCAAGCCAGCAGAGAGACACTAGAGACATCTTTTCAGCATGTTCTAGGTCAGCCCAGGGTATCCTTCTAGTAGGACATGCCAGAAACGCCTCATCATCTCATCCAGCAGCAATGGGCTAATTGTCCACGAACTCCTGAAACCCCTTTTGAACAGGGGGACCACCACCATGATCTGCCAAATGTCGCTGGCTCCCACATTTTCCTTCTGATGCTGCCTATCCAAAAATAGAAATATGGTGCTAGAAATGAACATCATTCCAACATTAAAGAAAGTCAATCATTTGTAGCTGTGCCTTATGATGAAGATGAAATTTGTGGACAGTACCTAAACACAGACTTGTATAAATATTGCCTGTAGGTACACAGGCTGATGTTTTATTCCTCTTTGTGTTTCTACCTGGTCCATCCAGGTTTAAGAGTGTCAGCTTCAGTGAGGCAGGCCTCAGCTTTGAGCTTCCCAAGCAGCTGGCTGTGAGTGACATTGCTGTGCGCATCCTCCACACCCGGTATGACCACCTATCTTCATTAGCCAGGATGACTCATCTGAGAACACACACACTCAGCAACAGGGTCTACCCGGCGATGCAGTACACCCAAAGGTTAGGCGAGAGGGAGGTAAGATGAAAGACTCAGCTTCTGTTGTGGGTTCCTTCATTTACTGGGTTCTTTTCCTTCCTATAGAATGCACATCTCACAGAGTGCAGCCAGTCTGTGGTCAAGGAGCAGCAGTCCAGAGCCTGAAGAGAGCCAAGTGAGCCACGTCCAAACACAGATGGAGGCACTTGATGGTAAGATGGTCTTTAAATAAAAAGCAAGCACATAAACTAAACTTGTTTTAAAAACCATCTCTGTTGCTTGTGGGGCTCGCACACAAGAATTTCACTCGCATGTGCTGTGCCAGTGTGCCTGCACATGTGATGTGACAATAAAAGTGATTTGATTTGATTTGAAATACATATCACACTATGTCACAACTAACTCTATGTCAGTGATTATTGTAAACTTAGCTTAGAAAGAATGTGTTTATTTCCACAGACAAATTAACCAGCGGTTCTTCTAAAAGCCTTAATGACAGTTCTGTCTGTCTGTTCACCAGTCAGGGATCCGATTGGTCCCCCGGAGGAGCACACAGTGATCAACCCTGTTGCCCAGGTGGTAGACTTGATGGAGTACACACCTCTGGGTGGAGTATTCTACTATGATGCGTTTCACCTCCCACCTCAAATTCAATATGCCCATGGCTGGAAATTTGTGCAGGTGAAGAGATAAGGGTCTTCCAGCTAGCATGAGATCAAGCCTCACTTGTACTCAAAGTGCATGCCTGTTTTTGTTTGTAGGTGTTGAGGACAGGTATGCAGGTCTTCTCTTATCAGGCTGAGAAGTCTGGTTTGGATGGCCACGAGGCTCTCCCCTGTCCTCTTATTGGGGTGTCTGTGACACTGCCCGACTCTGTTGTCTTCTTGGAAGCTCCACAAGTGGCTCGCTGGGATGCTGCAGGTATGCCACACTCTGAAATACATCTGAAAGATCCCACAAAGTCAAAGATATTGAAACTGTCTACTCCCAAAGGTAAGCAGTGGAGGATGGATGGTATCACCGACATCTCCTATGATGAGTCTGAGGCCAAAATCTCTTTCAAGATGGACTCCTTCCAAGCGTTTGCGCTGATGCAGAAAACCTACGCCAACCTTCCTTTTCAGAGCTGGGAGCTCCGGCCACTGGGCCAGGACTCTGCTCTCTACACTGTCAACGGGGCGTTCATAAACATCAGCATCACTATTCAGGTAAGACGGCAAGAGCACTGTGGACGCAAGACGCAGGAAATAAACAGGAGATGTGGCTTAACTGTTACAATTTGTGCATCTGTGTCACTGATAGGATAATAAATGTATGCTGCAATCAGAGCAAGAGGGGGGGCTCTCTCACCTCATCGGAAAGTGGATGAGTGGCTCGGACCTGCAGAAGGCCATGGTCGACGCTGGGGTCAACATCTTTGTGAATGAATACGCGCACAAATACGTCAGCAGCACTGCCAAGGTCTGCAACAAAAAAAACCAAGATGCTAAATTTGAGACGCTAATATGAGAAGCTTAATAAGAATCCTTCAAAGATTGAAATGCATTTTATGAAGTCAAATGGGTTTCAGAATTAAATGAGGAGATTGAAAAACAAGGTTCGGCTGATATTTCACATGGTACCCACTATTTAAGCAGCTCAGACTACCCCCAGTTGTTGTGCATCTTTTCATTCATCTGACTGAAGAAGTGAATAAGTGCTTTTCATGTCACCAATTAGGGCTGTCAACATTAACGCGTTAATGCGTCATGACGATTAACGCGATTAAAATTTTTAACGCAATCAACCCATCTGGAGCGCAGAATGGACAAACTGCCCAAAATGCATTGACAGAGACATTTCAGGGATTTTGAGTCATTCTGCGCTCCAGATGGGTTGATTGCGCTAAAAAAATAAAAAAATAAATAAATAAAAAAATAATTTAAAAAAAAGTAAATAGCGTTATTTGCAATGACTGCGTTAGCGTTAGCATTGACAGCCCTACACCAAATATAAATGACTACAGACGGAAATGTCAGTTAGCGTGTGACTTGGTGAGATTTTCACCTGATAGTAGCATTAAGTTAAAAGGTTTGAACCAAAGTTTGTATTACACAGTGCATGTAAGTGTCCCATGAAATCATAAGAAAAATATGTTTTTCTGCATTTACACAGGGCTGCCTGAAGCGGTCCTGATATGTAGTTTTAAACAGCAATTTAATTGTGTTTTTGCAGTATTAAGAATTACGAAATGATCTGTGGGGTTTCTGTCCTCTTCAGGACCCACTCACAGAGCACGCTGCCTACGAACAGATGGCCCTCTTTTCCTCTGCCTGTGCATTCTCGTGGAGCAAGTGGAATGCTAAATGTGGAGCTGAGCATCTGGTCATGCAGGTACTCTCTCACACATAGATACACTTTATGCAATGTAGTATTTTACTCCATTATCTACTTAAGGCCTCAGTCACACTAGAGTAAAAATAGAACGGCTACCTCTGTGCGAGCAGGAGAAAAAACTGTGGCTGGTGAGTGATTGTGCTGAAAATATTTTTGCTACCTGGGAATGACTGCAAGAAGTTGTGGGGACCACTTTTGGTTGCAAGGAGATTCAGCATGTTGCCAGGTGGGAGGTAACCTGTCTCTGCCTGATTCGGACCGACTGCAATCCCTCTCAAAGAGATTGGTGAAGGTTTGCGATTAATCGCCATCCACTTTACAAATGCAAACATGCTGTAATCAACTGGAGTCAGTCTGTACCAATTAGCACGACTCTGCTACCTGATCAAATAATGAACCAAGAAAACGTGAATTACTAAAGTTTGTGCCAGAAAATTTTACATAAACTGTGCTGAATTTTAAAACTAAAAAACGTGTTTAGTTATTTAGAATGGGAGGTGGACATATTTTCAGAACGATTGCATAATTAACACACACGATTGGCTCAAAGTGGAGAGCGAGACATAACTTTGGCTCCGTCCTGTCATTCTTTACTCAGTCCTCTGAGTGTTTAGAGCCGAGCCTCGTGTATTCCTGCTGTGCAGTAACACTGGGATTTAATTAAACAGCAGAACTCAAAGAAGCATCGGAGGGAGGCGGGGGAGATGTTGGACAAATGATGCATACAAGGATGTGTCTTGTTTTGGCAACCTATCATTTTTATTATAATGGGCAGAGCAGGTTTCAGTATTCAGGGTTTTAGAGATTTGAAACATCTCTTTAGAAATGTTTTCTCAGCAGTGTGCAAAGACAGGAAATTTTAAGGTTTCTTTCTTTTACTTCCTTAATAGATGCATTTACATAACATCTCTGTCAAAATGCAGCTGTTTGGGGACTGTGTTAGTTTAATATGCAGTATGAACAGTGTTATCCTCTCTACTCGAGAAACTGGCAAACGCAATTCAAATATTTTAAATTACCAGAATTAAATCCTGTGTCTACTTAGTGCTACTTGGCCAGCTGTGCCACTTTATGGTACATAGAGATAACATTCACCTCACTTTACTCTCTCTCATTACCATTATTTTTCTTTTTTTAACCCTAAAACTCCATGTAGAGGAGGAGGCATCTTCTTCCATTTACTAAGACCAACAGCAGACTTTCAATTTGAGAATTGATAAGTGAACACGTTTTACAGAATCATGAAGCGAATGAAGGTCAGGTTAGAGTTTACCTTTTAATTGAGAAGTCTAGCTGGTCTTACCAGCTGCACCACAAATTGTGTGCGTAACATTTGTTGAGCGATGCCTTCAGTTTCTAACTGCAGGATGTGTGACAGCAGCTCTGTTGCATAACACCAATTCAGTTTCACACACTGCAGAGAAGCTCAGACAGATGCATGCATTTACACATGTAGCAGAGTAACAGCACATTAACACAGACGGCAAACAAACATATTGAGTCTCCTTCGGCCCGGTCTCGTTTATCTGAATTGCTTTCTGTTTTCAGAGAGAAACTTTAAAAACCTGTGTAAAAGCTGCGCTTACACTCTGTTACTTTGTTTGTACATTACTCGCTGATTTTTGAGCTACAAGTTTGCACTGTTCTGTGCAGTTCACCGGCAATAAGTCTGCCCCAGGCTCTGCTATAGAATCACGTCTGATGCAGACAGCAGTAGATTTGAGAGCTACCACAGGTAATTGTGGTATTATTGAAAACCCGATTTTATGTAATTGTCAATTCACCCTCCCCCCGCATGTGGTCTCAGACCTGGACCCGGTCTCTGAAGCAGCCATTTCAAAGTCAAGGACACGGCACACAGTTGCAACAATTGTGGTTTGGCTGCAGTCTCCAATTACCATTCTCTCTAGTGCAGCTCTAGATTAAAGCAGACTACCACCTGGGTTCTCTTAACATCAACCTTTACGCAGCCAGAGCTATGAAAAAGGTAAAACAGTAGGCTTTTTATAGAACACGAAACCAAGAAGCAAAAGTGATATTAACTTGTGACTACCTGATTCTCACCAAAAGGTTACTGACCATATTTGAGCAGACAGAACAGAGATGAAATTGGCTAACATTTAATATGCTTTAATGTTACATCAACTTGCAAAACTCTCTTTGCCAGGTGTGTGAGCACCACAATCCCTCCCCCGTGCCCAAGGACTCATGGAGTCTGTACCTTCTGGGAGCTCAGAGGAGTCGAAAGCTGGCGATCACAGAAACAAGTGAAGCTTTTTCTCCAGATCATTATCCTGGCAGCGAGTTTCACTCCACCTTCATCCACTTGCTTCAGGACACCATGAGTCCTGATGGCGTCGCTCGGACCAGAAATTCCCATCATTTGTTTGTCGACACAGTGCAGAGCCTGCTTTGTGCCACAAGGCCCCTGATGTATTCATAATCCCAGTGAAATAAACTTAAAAATGCACGACTAAATACAACAACGAGAGAGCTGAATTTGAAATGTACACTTGGATGCACATAACACACATCTTCTATTGTAGAATTGGCTACTTTATTTGTGAAAAGATCCACGCATCTCCTTTGGAACATACAAAAGTGTATGAAGTTGTGGCAACCACAGCAAAAACTTGAAGATGGAAAATACAAATAACAAAAAACAAAAAACAAAAAACAAAACAAAAACGTTTGTGTTGAAACTGTAATAATGCAGAAATACAAGTTAAAACTCATAATCACATTTTCCACTCAAAACTAGCAAACTCATAAATATAGACTTCATAAACACTTAAGAGTTTTATTACCAGTGTTTAAAGAGTTAAGTTATAAACTGTCCTCAGCAACCGATGAGGTAAAATTCCATTAAAAATGCTGGTATTCTCCTGCATCCTCAAGTACATAAAATGTGTTTAAAAAGCCACAGGTGGAGCAGCTCACTGAACAGCTGAGCAGCACTATCACACATGCATACACACAGATAATCTTATTTAGCAAACATAATGTGATGCATAAACTCCTCTATGGGGTTAACTATTCCTGAGGCCAGGCCTGTGCTGTCGATGCAAGTCTTATAGGAATTTGCAGGCACAGTAAACATCCCAACAGCCTCTGCTCTCCCAGTGCAATAAATATCTCTGGAGGGCTGATGGGCACTAGCACCATCGACCCTCAGGACTTCGACTAGACAGGGGGCTGGCCATTGTACCGGAGCCCTGTGTAGGGCCACAGCAGCTGCTGGATGGTCATCCAGGAGTCCCCGGTCCCTACAGGGGCTGCGTCTACGGCTGGCTGCATCACCAGGCTGGCCAGCAGTGCCAGGAGACCTATGCAAATAAACAATGATAACAATAAGAATCCTTTGTTTAATTAAGAAAACACCCCCACTTCTGCATGGATAACAATCTCTGAATTATTGATGTTTTACTTGAATGTTACAGCTGTGCTATTGCTGGGTACCTTGATGCAATTTATCTGAAAAATACTAGGTAAAGATTTAAAACGCACGGTATCAAGAACAAAGTACAATATTGGTGTCAAATGCATATATGGCAGTTTTGATTTTGATGGCACATTTTCAGAAAAACTGAACAGGGGGCGATATTAAAAACGCAGCTGGAGGAAGATTTTGCAATTAGACCAACTATCAACAGGTATGTAAAGTTTCATGAATTTCCAAGCATGCTTAGGCCCTCAATAAAGGAGTTTATTTGCCAAAATAACTTTACCATTATTACACAACTTAGGGGTTGCCAAAGCATCAACGTTGAGACTTCAAGGTGGTGGCATGACAAACGAGTGGAATATGTCACGGTCTGTCCTTTATATACAGTCAATGGAGTGGTTCTCCTAGGTTTAAACCAGTAATGGTAACAAAAGGAGCCTACCCGCTAGGAGCACCATCATGGCTAGCCAAAGCCAAAGACCCCTGCCACCTCTGGCTACTGCTGCTGCCGTCCGGGAACTGGTTAAACTATGGGACAGAGACTGGGCCGCTCCTGGTTCTGTAGATGTAGGGCTGGATGAAGGGCTAGGCCTAAAGAAAACAAAATAACGTTATGACACGAACTAGGTAAGACATGGTTAATACGGGGAAAAAAAAAAGATAAAATGTTAAAAAGATAAAGCGAAAGACTTAAGTTACCAAAAATACTTGTGACGTAGTTAGCTTATTTCAGGACACTGTCATGAACACAGTAAAATCTGTTGGTCATTTGTGGTAACTTAATTACAGCAGGCAGTAAATTAGCTGTGACTTGGCTAAAATTACAATTTAAATGCAGTTAAGTGCATTAAACCACCCATCTTATAACTGCATCAAAGCACAACCATACACATCACTGTTAGCATAGAAAGATGTCAGCAGTTGTTAATAGCAGTTGGTACTGAGCTGGATTTCAGCATTAGCTTATCAGGCAAAGGCAACAGATAATTTTGGCCTGAGATCTGTCAACAGCAGGAATGCTGCTTCAATTTACTTTGGCATCATTGAGAGTCCGTGCAAGGTCGTAAGTGGCCTTTGATTGGCACTCCTTCCAGATAAACATAGGCCTTTTGCATGCATTAATAGTGTTTTCCCCCCTTAGACAAAGTCAGAATCCACAATCACTTCCCACTTTGTATTTTCTCCCAACACACTTACAGCATTACAAAGAGCTCATCCTGATTCCTGAGAGATGTAAAGGGAGGAAAAGAGGAAAGGATAGTTCAGAACAACACCTGATCTGCATAGTTTGCATAATCTGTCACCTCACGAAAACAAAGGAACAGGCCAAGGTTTGCACATACAACAGGTGGCCGAGCATGTTAGTAGATGACAAAAGCAAGCCTGGAGAACTTGGACTGGTTATCACGTTGAATCAAAAAAAAATGCAGAAACAAGTCATAACACAACACATAAAAAAGCATGCATTAAAAAGAACACATCCAAAACAAACAAAAACACACAAAGTCTCCAGCTGAAGGAAATGATGAATTTCAAACAAAAGCCTCTGAGCCCGTTGAGCATAGAAGCTAGTCCAGCACAGAGCTACATCATGAAAGAGTTTCATCACTTGGGTCCCACAACGTCCTCAAAGTTTTGAAACAAAAGGATGTGAACATCAGATGTTAAAGACACATTACATTTCTGGTATTAATGATACTTTGACCCAGGCCTCTGTTATCATTATACACAGCAGCAGGGCAGTGTTGACCAAATAGCATAAATGGGGATGGTGTCTTAAAATTGATATCATCATTAATGCCAAAATGTTACATGACTATTGATTGATTGTATAGAGATATTGCATATCATAACAAAATTTCAGTAACTAGTGAAAGTTCATAAGTGGCAATGAAGCGGTTATTCCATTCTAAAATAAAAACATTAATATGCCACTTATGAACTCTGATATCACAAGACGTTCAGGTTACAACTACTGGAACCTGAGCACAGCCAAATGATCAACTCTTTCACCATGTGTCAGTCTCTTGGTTTGTTGGCAGACAGTAGTGCTACCGTACGGTAGCGGTGGGCATTTAGTTGGACTAACGTCTTAAGGGGCAGAATGAGTGAGGTGAGTTTGCTGCCCAGCTCACTGAGACTGGACCTCCTCTCCACCACTGTCTCCTCCTTCTGCTCTTCCTCGGACTGGCAGTCTGTGTTGTTGCAGGCTGTCCTGTGGGCATGCACGGGTTAGGCATTCAAACAAACTTTTGAGCTGCACAATGACATATGACCATTGCTACAAAACCACAATTTTGTGTGCACGTGCACACATGCCAAAGTCATGCATATGAAGCTAACAAAAGCAAGCAGAGAGACACCCCCTGCAGCAGTCATTGAATTATATTCACCTCCTGCAGACCAGTAATTTCTCAGACATGAAGTCATGTTTGAAATTATAATTTGTTTTGCATGAATCAGTTCATTCCCAGCAGAGTATATGCTTAAATATAGCACAAAGCCATAAAGCAATTTCACAACCTTTCAGTTATTTGGAGATTATTCAGCGCTTGACTTCCATCATCTTTAGCATTAGCTTTTACATTAGTTTTCCCAAACATGTGAAAGCATACGGTGCCCCATAAGAAAAACAAACATGTCACAAATGTCCACAGCAAAGATGTGTCACTTCAATATTTTGTCTTTTTTTTGTCTTCTTTTATTTATTAGTACTATTTGTATTTTATCTGTTCTATTTATATATTAATTGGCATCTGTGTGTGGACAGCAAAGAAAGAACTTCATTGCACAAAGAAATGCCTTTTTTTCTTTGGACACATGACAATTAACACTTTGAATCTTGAATCATATAGAAAAGAGGCTTCAGACAAATACTTTCCCAAGCAAATGTAGATGGACCAGATGCATGAAAGATGGCTGCTGTGTGGTTTGCTGTCTTTGCGGTTTGTGCTTTCGACTTTGTTTCTGCTAACTAGCTTCACTATTTTCTTTATAATACCCACAAAGTCAGTCAGCACTCTCTCACTAACAAAATTCTCTTGTTTTGTTCTCAATAACATCTGCTGCTGACTATCAAAATTATTTCTGCATAAAATTATACTGTAACCAATATTGCACCTAAGAGCCGCCATTTTTATGCATCAGGGTCTGCGCTAAAAGAACTTTGGTGATGCAGCCAGTGCAGTATGCTCCTCCTCACACGTCTTACCCCTTCATCACAAGCGAGGGCTCTTCAGTGTCGACCCAGGGCACAGAGCTACTAAAACGTTTGAGTGGGGGACGCGCTGTGCTCTTCCCTGCCACATTCCTGTAAACCAACGTTATCACATAGGGGCATAACAACAACAACCACCCTCAAGTCATGATGCAACAAGCCTTGGTGGAATTAATAACCAACCAGAACCCTCAAATCTTGCTGTAAAAGAAGGAGTCAAAAAAAAAAAAAAAACCACACTGCCTTTATATACAGAGTATACATTTTGTTGTAACTTAACTTGAAGATAATTTAACACATCCATCCATCCATCCATTCGCTTCCGCTTATCCTTTTCAGGGTCGCGGGGGGCGCTGGAGCCTATCCCAGCTGTCATAGGGCGAAAGGCGGGGTACACCCTGGACAGGTCGCCAGTCTGTCGCAGGGCTAACACATAGGGACAGACAACCATTCACACTCACATTCACACCTAGTGACAATTTAGATTAATCAATTAACCTATCCCCACAAGCTGCATGTCTTTGGATGGTGGGAGGAAGCCGGAGTACCCGGAGAGAACCCACGCAAACACGGGGAGAACATGCAAACTCCACACAGAAAGACCCCGGCCTGATGGTGGAATTGAACTCAGGACCTTCTTGCTGTGCGGCAACAGTGCTAACCACCGTGCTACCGTGCTGCCATATATATATATTTAACACAAACACACAAAAATACCCACCATGGGGACCGTCTGGTCAGTCGTTCCGATTCAACCTCTGAGCCATCTTGTGTTTTGGACTGTGTTGGGGGG